AATTGTTGAAGAAAAACAATAGTTTAGTTTAACAGAATAGGTGAAATAGTTTACGAAGCATCGATTTGGTTGTTCTTACATCGCTTATCAAGACTACTATTATAATTTTATAAGAAACAGAAATTTCGATTACACACTTTAAACATTACACTTGGATTTTCCAGTTTAAGGAATAAACGTATATTACGCGTCTCTTGTAGGGTATCCAAAAAGTCTCCCCTTCGATTACTCCTTTATTAGCCATGATTTCCCTAAAGTTTATTTTTAGTTTTATATTTAAAGCTGTTGCTGCCTAACTTTGTGTCCAACTATAAAAGCATGACAAATACATATTGAACACAAAATTATCACTATTGTTTATTTGATTTGATTGCTATTACTAAATAAACTGATTCTGTGATTCGATAACATCGAAAGGCATTTAAGCTATGCATCAAAGTAAATGAAATTAAAAAAGGAATAAAAAAAAAAGATTAAATAGAAAAAAAATAAAATAAAGGAAATTTGAAAAAAAAGAAACAAATTAAAAGAAACAAATCAGGGGGTATAAATGGGTCATGGTACCCACGGTAAGAATGAAGTTCTTTAAACATGAGATGAGTATAAAGACACACAATTTCTCAGGTAACGAGGGAGTCACCAGACCCATAGGAAGAACGAAGCTCTATAAAAATAAGTACTGCATTCATGTAGTTCACTAAAACAAAAACTTGAAAAACGAATAAAAAAAGGAAAATAAGAATATTTAGTTTAGTTTTCACGATAGTTGAACTTTATGAGTACGTCATGCATAAATACAGTACTCACGAAGTTCAACTATCGTGAGTACTAAACTAAATTTTCTTATTTATTTTTTTTTTTTGTGATAATAGAACTGGTTCTGGATAATTATTCAGCCATGAATTAACATCATTTACCAATCTGCAAATATACACGTATGTTTTGTGTTCATTCATTATCATCCTTACACTTGGCTACGAATCGGCTTAGAGAATCAACAACTACCTTAAATGATTTTTTGCATGACTTTGAAATTAAAATCGTTATAAGTTTACGTTGATTTCAAACCAACTATCCACACTGCTATTTAAAACGTTTTATCCAATGCAAATGTCTTGTATATGTCTTATTTGGGCTAGAGCTGGTGACGTAAGTAGCAAAAGCTTTAACTAAGAAGGGCATGTAGAATAAAATATAACGAAGGGAGAAAACTTCCTTCAATGCTTTTTTGGGCTGCCATTCTTAGATGCAAATGAAATTACAGATTATTTGAATAAGGGATTTACTGGTTGCAAATTTTTGTGAGTATATTTAGTATATTTTCCACAACTATATTGTAAACAAATCGCTGTATCCTCCAACGAATAACTGCAAAAATTCCACTTACATGTAAATTGTGAATTATTCTCATTAAACATTCTATTGACACTTGTAGCCGTAGAGGCTCTCCAAGATGAATAAAAAGAAGCGTAAATAAAACTGTGAGACTCTAGGACATAGTTAAAAGACATGCTACAAAAAAATTTAATGAGAGCTGAAACAGAACCTTATCAATAAAAAATAATTACTATTATTCCTAGGTCGTATTTTATCCCACACATTAAAAAAAATTATTACTTCTACGGTAACACATCATAAATTTCTTAATTACCACAAAGAACAAGTGTACGAATAAAATGATTATATTTATTTTTATTAAACGTAAAAAAATTGTTCAATACACTAATTTCTTTATGAAACTGACAGCCTAAAATAATTCGGGTGAGTTGTGACGGAAAAAATATATAAACGCTACTTAAATAGTCTCCTTTTTTTTAAATAATAATCTGTAGTATAATTTTTTATAAATAATACGTTGTATACTAATAATCCAAAGTGACAAAATATAGACATTAAATCAAATGAGATTTTGTGTGCTTTAAGAAAATATTATGAATCATAAAAGTTACATTTTTAAAAAGCGTTTTATACATTGGAACTGGAGATTAGTTACAGCATATTTCCTGCATTAGAGTTCATATTTTGTAAATTTTTTATGTTTGTATTGTTTTGTATGCTTTGACTTTACATTTTGTTGTTACCTTTTATCTTCAATTTCATTTAGGATCCAAATTCCAGGAATAGATTAATTTGCATACAAAATTTTAAAAAATTTTGAGTCAGATTTTTTTTTGCATAAGAATTGTATAGTGGGTCTTTTGAGGAAGAAAGTATTTTTTGTTAAATACAATTTATTATGCTTTGTTCACTGCAGTGAGTATGATATTCGTTAAACCTTTAATTAAGTTTAAGTAGTAAGTACGTTGCTGTAGTTTAATCTTGTACGACATTTTCACCATTAATTTAAAACATTAAGGTAAATATGGAGGAAAAAATTTAAGAAAGTATTCATCTAACTGTTAGTGTTAAAATTGTACAACTTTCAAGACTTTTTTTTTAACTCTAGTCGATTTCGGAAGTTTTTCTAAAATGAAGGTATAAATTCTCGAGTCCTTTCCAAAGTGGGTTCTTTTTTCAGAATTGCTTTCGTTAATTACCATTTAACAAGTTTTTACCGAATTCGCTGTTTAGATATAAAAACGTGATGTTAAACATCGATAAAATATCAAATATAAAAGCATAACACAATAAAAAAATTTTAAACATTAATCAATTCACAAGTAAAATATACTTCATTTATTATATAATCGGTTGTATATAGGATAATTTTTTTAACAAGATTATTTTGTCACTTAGTTAATATTATCTGACCTATTCAGTGATTTTTGTCAATATTTTGCTCAAAAGACGTACTCTGTTATAATTATGTCTTTGTTATATCACCATAAGGTAATAATAAATAATTTTTAACTTGTTTTTTTAACCATCAAAATGATTCAGACAATCTTATAATTTCTGTCTGTTGTTTTATTCGTAGCTCTTCGTAGAAAATCTTATTTTAGAAAAAAATGAGTCTTTTGATAACTAATCTCATAATACTGATTATTTTTCAATTGAGAATGAGACAACAATAGTTTCAATCACAAAGTTTAGGATCAATTTTAAAACTTGATGAGAAATTGATTTCTTTTTAAGTTATAACTTACTCAAAATATTTATTACAGACTCTTAAGGCCTTGGTTAAGATTTAATTGGCTCTTTGGATTAACATCGATGGCTACTCAACAAATGGAGATCTTAGAAACATTACATAGTTTTACTACCCAAGTATGTAGGTTTAATTTATTTTAATTGGAACTCTTTTGGACAATCATAAGTACTTTATATAAAAAAGCAATAACTTAATATGGAATGGATGAAAGTTTTAATGTAACATTGAATTTTAATACAGATAAATTTATCAACAAATTTACCTAAAGCTGCAGTGATTTTACCAATTTTGTTTAAAAAATGATAAAATTGACATGATCCAACTCGATTACTGTACAACTTTTAAAGCTACTTACTTTTTTAATTATATAAACAATATTACTACTTTTATTTACATGTTTTCTAGAAATAAAATTTTTTTTTTTAATAATCAAACCTAAACAATATTTTTAAAAAAGCGAAGAAAAGTTTTTTCATTTTCAATAGTTCACGAGCATTGTAAGAAGCCAAAAATGATATATTCGAATTATTTGCACAGCTGAATCGTTTTATACTTAACTAATAATGGCTACCTTTGCCAACTGGACAAGTTGTAACTTGTACAATTATTAAGATACAAAGACGCATTTATTTTAATACTCTTAAAATAGTACAGAGGAAATAAAATTTTTTCAGATTATCAATGAAAGAAAAGAATACCATAAAAAAACAAATGGTGAATTTTTAAAAAAACTTGTTTCCGATGAATTGATTGATAATCAAAGCAACGACAAAGTTTTAGGAGGTCAGTATTAATAAAAAAGTATCATGTTATGTATGATACACTTCAGAGAGTGGACAACATATTTTTTCGTAAGAAATTGTTTACAACTGTAAAAAGTATTAAAAATTCATTGTTTATGTACAAAATTGTTTATTTTGCTTGAAGGGTTTCTCCCTGATATATAAAAAGAAAGATTTTATTGATCTTAATTTATAACATATTTTTTAAAATCTAATTGTATACTCTCCATACATATATATCTTATCAATCATATCGCTGTATCCTCCAACGAATAACTGCAAAAATTCCACTTACATGTAAATTGTGAATTATTCTCATTAAACATTCTATTGACACTTGTAGCCGTAGAGGCTCTCCAAGATGAATAAAAAGAAGCGTAAATAAAACTGTGAGACTCTAGGACATAGTTAAAAGACATGCTACAAAAAAATTTAATGAGAGCTGAAACAGAACCTTATCAATAAAAAATAATTACTATTATTCCTAGGTCGTATTTTATCCCACACATTAAAAAAAATTATTACTTCTACGGTAACACATCATAAATTTCTTAATTACCACAAAGAACAAGTGTACGAATAAAATGATTATATTTATTTTTATTAAACGTAAAAAAATTGTTCAATACACTAATTTCTTTATGAAACTGACAGCCTAAAATAATTCGGGTGAGTTGTGACGGAAAAAATATATAAACGCTACTTAAATAGTCTCCTTTTTTTTAAATAATAATCTGTAGTATAATTTTTTATAAATAATACGTTGTATACTAATAATCCAAAGTGACAAAATATAGACATTAAATCAAATGAGATTTTGTGTGCTTTAAGAAAATATTATGAATCATAAAAGTTACATTTTTAAAAAGCGTTTTATACATTGGAACTGGAGATTAGTTACAGCATATTTCCTGCATTAGAGTTCATATTTTGTAAATTTTTTATGTTTGTATTGTTTTGTATGCTTTGACTTTACATTTTGTTGTTACCTTTTATCTTCAATTTCATTTAGGATCCAAATTCCAGGAATAGATTAATTTGCATACAAAATTTTAAAAAATTTTGAGTCAGATTTTTTTTTGCATAAGAATTGTATAGTGGGTCTTTTGAGGAAGAAAGTATTTTTTGTTAAATACAATTTATTTTAAATAATTAACCATCATTTTTCTGGTTGTTTTTATTTCTTTGTTTCTCCGTATTCATTTTTAAACTATTGATTTGAAATAAATTAACTCAAAAAATATTAAGGTAAATATGGAGGAAAAAATTTAAGAAAGTATTCATCTAACTGTTAGTGTTAAAATTGTACAACTTTCAAGACTTTTTTTTTAACTCTAGTCGATTTCGGAAGTTTTTCTAAAATGAAGGTATAAATTCTCGAGTCCTTTCCAAAGTGGGTTCTTTTTTCAGAATTGCTTTCGTTAATTACCATTTAACAAGTTTTTACCGAATTCGCTGTTTAGATATAAAAACGTGATGTTAAACATCGATAAAATATCAAATATAAAAGCATAACACAATAAAAAAATTTTAAACATTAATCAATTCACAAGTAAAATATACTTCATTTATTATATAATCGGTTGTATATAGGATAATTTTTTTAACAAGATTATTTTGTCACTTAGTTAATATTATCTGACCTATTCAGTGATTTTTGTCAATATTTTGCTCAAAAGACGTACTCTGTTATAATTATGTCTTTGTTATATCACCATAAGGTAATAATAAATAATTTTTAACTTGTTTTTTTAACCATCAAAATGATTCAGACAATCTTATAATTTCTGTCTGTTGTTTTATTCGTAGCTCTTCGTAGAAAATCTTATTTTAGAAAAAAATGAGTCTTTTGATAACTAATCTCATAATACTGATTATTTTTCAATTGAGAATGAGACAACAATAGTTTCAATCACAAAGTTTAGGATCAATTTTAAAACTTGATGAGAAATTGATTTCTTTTTAAGTTATAACTTACTCAAAATATTTATTACAGACTCTTAAGGCCTTGGTTAAGATTTAATTGGCTCTTTGGATTAACATCGATGGCTACTCAACAAATGGAGATCTTAGAAACATTACATAGTTTTACTACCCAAGTATGTAGGTTTAATTTATTTTAATTGGAACTCTTTTGGACAATCATAAGTACTTTATATAAAAAAGCAATAACTTAATATGGAATGGATGAAAGTTTTAATGTAACATTGAATTTTAATACAGATAAATTTATCAACAAATTTACCTAAAGCTGCAGTGATTTTACCAATTTTGTTTAAAAAATGATAAAATTGACATGATCCAACTCGATTACTGTACAACTTTTAAAGCTACTTACTTTTTTAATTATATAAACAATATTACTACTTTTATTTACATGTTTTCTAGAAATAAAATTTTTTTTTTTAATAATCAAACCTAAACAATATTTTTAAAAAAGCGAAGAAAAGTTTTTTCATTTTCAATAGTTCACGAGCATTGTAAGAAGCCAAAAATGATATATTCGAATTATTTGCACAGCTGAATCGTTTTATACTTAACTAATAATGGCTACCTTTGCCAACTGGACAAGTTGTAACTTGTACAATTATTAAGATACAAAGACGCATTTATTTTAATACTCTTAAAATAGTACAGAGGAAATAAAATTTTTTCAGATTATCAATGAAAGAAAAGAATACCATAAAAAAACAAATGGTGAATTTTTAAAAAAACTTGTTTCCGATGAATTGATTGATAATCAAAGCAACGACAAAGTTTTAGGAGGTCAGTATTAATAAAAAAGTATCATGTTATGTATGATACACTTCAGAGAGTGGACAACATATTTTTTCGTAAGAAATTGTTTACAACTGTAAAAAGTATTAAAAATTCATTGTTTATGTACAAAATTGTTTATTTTGCTTGAAGGGTTTCTCCCTGATATATAAAAAGAAAGATTTTATTGATCTTAATTTATAACATATTTTTTAAAATCTAATTGTATACTCTCCATACATATATATCTTATCAATCATGCGCAATAAATTTCAATTACTAAAAACATTTTATTTTTATAAGTATTGTTTTTTAATTAAATTTTTAAGAATAAATTGGTTCACTGAATCATTTAGTTAGTAGTGTAAATACAAGATTTATACAATTGAATTCGATTATAATCTGTGGACCTATTGATTTATGCAATCCATGTTTAAAGCAACAATTTTACAATCGATGGGTTTGATTGAATAATTAAAAAAAAAGGTACTGATTTACAGTTAGTAAACGGCGCCTAGCAATGCTCGACCATCTAATAGCTGCGTATAAAGAAGGACAAATAGACGATGATGGAATTTGCGAAGAAGTTGATACGTTTACATTTGAAGTACGTATCATTTATTTTAAAAAATAAGTAACAATTTTTCCAACTTTGGTCATTAATGCAACTTACAAAACAAACAGGGTCATGATACATCAGCTATGTCAATGTGTTTTCTTTTACTTCTACTTGCAGAACATAAGGACGTACAGGTGGGTCATCTAATATATTTTTTTAATGGAATTACAAAGGTAAATATTGAATATACGCGACGAAATTCTGACATTTAAATATTTCGTCAACCATTATCACGCGATGAAAGTTTTTTTAATCAATTGATTATTAAATTTGTGACTGTAAAATGTTTATCCTCCTTTTGCGCAGTCTAAGGCAAGAGCTGAAATTAATGAAGTTTTAGAAGTGACAGATGGAAAATTGCGAATGGAAGATCTTCCGAAACTAAGTTATCTGGAACAATGCGTTAAGGAATCGCTTCGACTCTATCCAGGTGTACCGTTTATATCAAGAAGCGTTACTCGTGATTTACAATTAAGTACGTTAAAAATACTCATAGTAGAAATAAAAAAATTTACTTCGCATACAGTACTAATACAGAATTACTAAATAGTGGAAGAATAGACTGACTTCCTGTGCTATTTTCAGAAAATTATCTCATTCCTAAGGGCGCGATAGCACATTTGCATGTCTTTGACCTTCATCGTGACCCCAACTTCTGGCCGGAACCAGATAAATTTGATCCTGACAGATTTTTACCTGACCTGATACAACATCGTCATCCGTTCTCATTCTTACCATTCAGTGCTGGACCGCGTAACTGCATAGGTGAGTTTATTGCCGTTCAAACAATGTTATTGGAAGTAGACATTATTCATTTTTTAGAAACATCACTCATACCTTAGGTCATTGTCAGCAGACTAAAACAGTATCAATTTTAGAGTCTTATTCACTTAAAATATTTACCCAATTTCCTCAAATTATTAGTATTTATCCACCTGGTAATAACAAGGAGTGTTAAAATCACGCAATTTTATCTCGATCTATTAGTTGTATACATTATAAATAAGGAGATTTCTTCCATCTCAAAACAATAAACCTTCGTGAATGGATCTCATTATATATGGGCTTTTTCGATTTTTTTAAGGGTGCAATCATTCGAAAAATAGCATGTGCTGTTATTTTTCCCTTTACTCTCTACTATTTTTAAGCAATATCTCTGCAATCTATTGTAATAAGATTTCGCACTCAAAGAAGTTGCAAAAAAAATGATTGCACGTCAAAAATGTTTTTTTCTTTCTTTCGATATGTGCATATCGGTTTTCTACAAGTATCTCTTGTTTACGTAATAACTAAAAAAAAGATATACTTAAAAGATAAAACACTTTTTTCACATGAATCTGGACTCAGTTCTATTTGATTAAAATGATTAAAATAAGTTATCAACTAGAAAAATAATTTATTATTTTGTAACTATTATTTTTTTTTAACGAGTTTATTATTTCAAATGAAATAGTTAAGAGTAATTCAAATTTCTCAAATACTGCCTATCTCTGCCTATACATCTATTATAACTTGTAGTTGTATTATTATTTATTTTTAGGTCAAAAGTTTGCTATGATGGAGCTCAAGACGCTGACAGCACATTTATTACATAACTTTTATTTAGAGCCAATAGATTTAGCTCATGATGTGCCTATACACTGTGATTTAGTGATTCGACCTTCACGACCTATGCATATTAAATTTATACCAATTCATTAGTAATAAATACTTCTGCGATTACTGTACAACTTTTAAAGCTACTTACTTTTTTAATTATATAAACAATATTACTACTTTTATTTACATGTTNATTATTTAAAAATCTTATTTATTTTGCATTTGTTTTTTTTTTTCTTTCAAAATAAACGAAACAATTGACATAAATCAATTTGAAATCTCCCACGAGTAACAACAAGCATAAAATAAATGTATCTTTTTATACTGTAAAAAATCGGTATTTTAACCCTCAGTAGATCGTAAATTACTTTGGTATTTATAATATTATAGCTTACATCATCCATGTCTGTAATCAAGTGTCCATTCATTAATATTCTCAATGATCAAGAAAAAAGATTAAAAATAATTTCATCTCGGTATACGTAAAATCGTAGGTTGAGCAAACATTACTGAAATGTGCAGCCTCGTGAAATGCTGTTAATGCTCTTTTCGTAGAAATAACTTGACTTTGGCTGAATGAAATAAATCCTCCAAAACAAAAAATGTAAAAATGTATGATTCACAATCGATTCGCCATCACTTTCCAGCTCAACATAAAAATTTCAAAAACGCTGTAACAGATAAAATTTACACGTAGGCCGTTAAGGCACGCATCCACGATGGTCTAGTACTGTGATCGAATGATGGTTCCCACAAGATGACTGTTAAAAAAAACAAAGTGCCAAGTTACGTACAGACACAAATTTTCCCTCACTCACGATACACGTTTACTACTCATTGAGCACACACGTGCGCACAAGGGCATTGCAAACCGAGTAGGGGTCGCAGTTGCTGCTGGGCCGGCGGTCCTCGAGGTAGCCCTTGTTGGCCTCGGCGACACCACGGGGTATGCGGATACTGACGCTGCGATTGGCCACTCCAGAGCTAAAGTCGTGGATGCTGCTGGTCTCGCACTTGCCGGTCAGTCGGCGCTCGTTGTCCTTACCCTCACGGGGGTCGTAGGCGCGTATGTGCTCGGCGTGGCGTTTGCTCAGCTTCTCGATCGCCCGGTTGATCTCCTTGATGCCGTTTTCCGCGCGCATCGTCTTGGTTGAGAAGTTGCAGTGGGCCCCGGCCCCGTTCCAATGGCCCTCCATGGGCTTTGGGTCGAGGGTTACCACCACGCCAAACTCTTCGGCGATGCGGTGCAGGATGAACCTCGACATCCAGAGTTCGTCACTCGCGCTGATACCCGGACTAGGTCCTACCTGTTGCATCGGTAGTGAGGTGTCAAACATTTTTTTTAACAATTAACCGGGATGAAAAAAAAAAAAAAAAAATTATGTGCAACTTACAAAAACGACACGAGCCGGGCTAAGTGTTTATTAGAGCACTGAATGTTGTTAAAGTGCACGTTTAAAGTGTGCAGTTAAAATTTTTGTTTCTTACAAAACACATTGTGGTGGCGTGGATAATAATGTTAAGGACAACCAAAGCTATGGTTTACCAAGTGGTTAACCAGTTCCATTAAATTGGTCAATTTTGAATGAGAAAAATCAATGTAGAAAAGCTTTGGAGTTGAAAAACTTGGCTGTCAGAGAATTAACATGCATATCAAATGTGTAAAATATGTGACAGTAATGTTTTACTCTCTACAGCCGTCCTATATTAACCGTTAACGAAAAAAATATTTTAGTTTGATAAAGTGGGTGCAATAATTTACAAAGCATCGATTTGATTATTTTTGTTACGTTTATCAAGACTACTATAAGCCATTTTATGAAAACGAAAATTTCGATTACACCCTTTAAACGTATACTTTAACACACTTGGATTTTACAGTGTATGTACACGCATATGCATTATTACCACAATATTTTTTGAAAAAGCATCAATCACGACTTTGGTAGAACATTTTAGCGAGACTTTTTTTCAAGAAAATTATTTGGTGTGCTGAATAATTTAAAAAATTACGATGCGATCGAGTAGCTCAAATCTTGTTCAGGGAATGACAAAAAAAAAAATAAATAAACAAATAATTGTAATATAAGTTCAAAATACTAACCTAAAAATATCCAGAAAGGTTTTTAGTCTAATAAAACAACAAACCAAATAATTTTTGCATGTAGGGGTACTAAATTAACAAAACATTGTTTAATTTTTTTGCAGTTATTTATTTTGCAATCTAACAAGTGCTTATTCATAGTTGACTATATTTATTTATAGCAGTAATGTATGACAGTTGATTTTTTTCTAACAAATTAATGTGGATAATTTTTCCCAACACACAATTTTATTTTTCTCTAATGGCTGGATTTTATTCAGTTAAAAAAGTGTAAATTGTAAATCGTTTTATTTTTATTGCTGTATAAAAAATATTGATCCTCATAATCATGAAAATATACATATCTTATACGTGGATCTGATTTTTACAATTGAAATAATTTTTTCATTTTTACTTTACCTTAATAAATTAATCAATGTAAATCTTTGAATGTCTTATGCCTGAAGCGTTTAAACATATGTATTATGTCAANACAATATAAATTTTTTTTTCTAATATTTGACTACCTATCTCCATTTATAATTACAAAATATTTCGATATACATTTTCAATAAATTACCAAAATTTTGTCTGCGTCCCCACATCTACTTTATAAAATTATGGTACATCATTTTTTTCTAAATCGTATTACTATAAAACATGTTGTCAGTTTTTAATTATATTGTACATTTTATAGGTATCGTATGGAAGTTTTGGAGTGGAAACTTTTTTTATCTAAAAGTCTGGTAATAATTAATTGATCAAGACTTTAGTTATAATTCAAGTCAACACATAAATAAATATATCATTATTGAACATAAGCAAATATATAATAAATAGATTTATTGAAACTTTTAACAAATTTTTGAGGCTTTAAATGCTTATAGCACTCACGGTTTAAGGTTCGACTGGAAAATACCGAGTAAATCTAAATGAATTCAGCATCACGTACAAATGTTTTTATTACGCAATTTTAACTTCGCGCTTAACAATATGTCTCAATAGTTCTAAATAGGTAAGTAAAACTTTTTCTTGCTAAAAATCTATATACGTACTTTATTATAAAAACAATATGGCAGCGCTTCACACATTGTATATCTCACCTCCACACAATTTGAAAGTTTAGCATTAGTATTGTATTACATTTTTTTCTGTTTTAATAATAAAATTTTATACTTTTTAATAACCTAATAGCATACATTTAAAACATACAAATAAATGTATTTACTACTATACTTAATTATATACTTATACAGTAATAAATTTAAGTTGTGTTTGGATCTGCATTAATATTCAATAATAGAAAATGTTTCCATTTTTTTTTAAGTACGAAATATTTTTACAT